ATCTCTTTTTGAATGCTTGATTTTTATTTTGATAAAAATTAACATTTTATACATTTATTTTATTGATAATAAATGATAACGCCAGCTAAAAATGTGCTTACATATTATAACACATCAATTTGAAAACTCAATGGACTCTGCTACTATATGTCAGATTATACTCCAAAAAATTTTTGGGAAAGACTGTCCCTGCCAGTTCTACCTGTCAAGCAACTAGTAAGTAAATGTGACCTTTGAATTAAGAGCGGAGCCATCTGAAACTTTTCTATCACCCTAAGGGACAGATACATTGTGTACACCTTTTGTTTACCATTTGGTAAATAACAACAAAAAAGAAACAAATGACAAAGTCCAAGCCCAGATAATAAAACAAGTGTGTCTATACATAACTGTCAATACAGACTATTAGCTCTTTATTTATTTTTTAAGATAGGATCAAGAGGAGAAAATAGAAAACATTAATGTATTTTCACTAGGCATGGTGGCTCATTCGTGTAATCACAACACATTGGGAGGCCAAGGCGAGCAGATCACTTGAGCCCAAGAGTTTGAGATTAGCCTGGGCAACATGGTTAAAACGTGTCTCTACAAAAAATACAAACACATACACTCACACACACACACACACACACACACACACACACACACACACACACAGACAAATTAGCCAGACATGTTGGTGCATGCCTGTAGTTCCAGCTACTCTGGAGGCTGAGGTGGGAGGATTGCTTGACCTGGAGAGAAGAAGGCTGCAGTGAGCACTGATTGCACCACTCCAGCCTGGGAAACAGAGTGAAACTTTGCCTCAAAATAAATAAATAAATTTTATTTTTTTTTCAATGTGACACATTATCTTTCAATTCCTCTCAAACTTCAGCAGTACCTTGTCTTTAAAATTAGTGATTTTCAAATTCCATCATTCCTTTATCATAGCATACACATTTTTAATAAGAGATTAATATAAAAATCTTATTTAAAAAAAATTTCCTGCCAACATAAATTACTGAATGTGAAAGCTCTAAGAGCAATTTCTCTACATTATTCATTTCTGTTTTCTTTTGATTTAACTTTCAATGATGGATTTTCATAAGTGAATTAACATCTTGGTATTCTTAAAACTTTTCCATAGACATGATTTTGTATCAGAAACATAACATTTGATAAATGGAATAAGATAACATTGTAAATATGCTAAGAAAAAAAAGTCACGTTGAGAATACAGTGATTTACATTCGACTATAAATATACTCCCAAGTACCCAGAGTTTAACTTTCAAATGTATTGCAAAACACAGAAATCTGTTTATTCATTCTGTATCTAATATCAATCTTTTCTTAAGAAATGATATAAGGCAAAAACCCATCATTACCAAAAATACAAAAAAGTAATCTGGATGCAGTGATGAACACTTACAGTTTTAGCTACTAGGAGACTGAGCTAGGAGGATTGCTTGACCCAGGGAAGTGAAGACTGCAGTGAACTGTGATTGTGCCACTGCACTCCAGCCTGGGTGACAGGACAAGACCCTGTCTCAAAATACATACGTGCATATGTAAAGGAATTTTATACATATATATATATATATATACATATATGCATAAAGGAACTTTATATGTATCTTTTCAGTTGAAATATAACATGTCTATATTAAAATGAATAAATAGCATCAAATTCTACTTGTACTTTTGAAAAGAATATTGTAGAACTATCAACTATATTAAGGTGTAAAATATTAGACCTCCACAATCTTCCCTTATGCCTCTAGTCAGTCACTAGGCCTCCCAAAAACGTAATCAGTATTCTAGTACCTACCACCATAACAGACTCTGCTTGTTTTTGAATATCATCAGTGTGTAATATTCTATTTGTGAATTTTTTGACTAACCAAGATCTATGAGATTCATGTGTGTTGTACACATTCATGGATTGTTATTTCTTATTGCTGTATACTAGTCAATTGTAGGAATAATTATAATTTATCCAATCCACTTTATCATTTTAGTATTGGGGTAATTTTGGTCATTTCTCCTTTGAGTGCTATGAATAATGCTTCATTAAATATTCTTATCTTTGATGACATATATAAAGATTTTTGCTGGATTTATATCTAGGAATTTAATTGATAAGTAATAAGAGTACATATGTTGTTGCATACTACTAATGAATTTGAAAGTGGTTATAAAAATGAATGCTTTCACGAAAAGTATCTAAGAGTTCCTGTTACTGTATATTACTAACACTTGAATACTTCAATTTTATTTAATTTTAGTCATTCAAATACTTTTGTAATGATATTTCATTGCGACTTTGTGTTTCTCTATTGAGTAAATATGTTGAGCATATTTCTTAAGATTACTTTGGGATAACATCTAAAAACTGACTGTCCAATTTATTTATTCATTTTATTTTGATCTTTGATCATCGATGTTTTCATTATTGATTTGTAGTTGTTCTTTATGTATTTTATAAATCTTCTGTTAGTAATTTGTGGGGCAAATATATTGTGCTAGCCCTTGGATTTCCAGTTATTCTTTTGAAATTGACTTTTGATGAACAGGTTGTAAAAAATTTTAATAAAGTCTAATTTATAAGTCTTTTCCCTCATAGCAAATGATTATGTTCAGTTGAGGAAATAACAACCTATCCAAATGTCATCGTTATGTTAAGTTGCATAAAATTTATTGTTTCACCTTTTGTATTTTCGTTTTGGTTTATGATCCATCTAGAATTGATTTTGTATGTGATATGAATTGGAAGTAATCTTTTTTCCATATGGTACATTATTCCAATATAATTCTTGGAAATGCCACCGTTTTCCCTTCCATTCCAGTGAATTATTAATGAAATTCAAGTGACTTGCTACTTTTACAGCTCTAGAACTTCTATTTTTTAACATTACATATGTATATTTCAGGTTGCAGAGATTTAAGAGAGATTTTTTATAATTTAATCATAGTTATTTATATCTGGTTTATATTTGAGTATTTCTGCGTCTTTTTAAATTCTTCTTCATTTAGTCCTGTTTGCTGGTATGTTAGGTAAAATGTTGGATACTTTATGTGAAAAGTTGTAAAGTTTCTGGATCATATTATTATCCTTCAGAGAAGACTTCATTTCCTACACACAGATAGCATATACAGAAAACACCTGACTCCAACAGAGACTACAAATATTTGAAGCTTTGCTCTGAGTTTTGTGACAGTTCTTCTATTTCTTATTTGTCCTTCCTCTTAGGGCATACTCCTTTACAACTGTCAACTATAAACCTGAGTGGTTTGGGCGTCTGAGTTCCTTCTTAGGCTTTAACTTTTTCCATTCTAGCACTTTGAGACTGCCAAAACTTTAGTGTAGTTTTCATCCATTGACCAGACTTTTGCTTTGTTGTTTTAACCTTTTGCTATGGAAAGGTACAATTTAGGAAGTGATACACTTCTCATAGGATAGCCATATGCAAAAGGCCCAGCTCAACTTCCAGGGCTCCATTTCTCTGGCATTTTGGCCTCTTCATTCCTGGATGCCGTGCTGTCCATGAACTCTAATGTCTGTTTCCCCAGCTCACTGAAAACAACTCAAACTCTAAGCTACACTCACTCCTCGGCCACTGCAACTTGAAGATAAAATTGGCAACTAGTCTTGGAGGGAAGGCTGCTTTCAGTGCAAATTTGATACATGTGTTTATAGTCTTTTCCCTCAAGTTCTGATACTTTAGGTGTTTTCTAATGCTTCCAATCAGTTCTTTTTAATTCCTTTCTTATTCTTATAATTTGTTAAATTTTTATATTTGTCAGCGAGTGATGATGTATGATTTGAGTTACTCATCATAGCTAGAAATAGAACTCAAGACTAATTTGTATCAAGTTATATGAGTGGTAATAAAGAAGTAAACAAATAATAATGATAAAATGCAAGTCATTTGATTCCCCAACACTCTAAGCAGATTTTTAGAAAGTTCTGGGCAGTAAATTTTTAACTAGTCAGGAAGTTCCCTGACACGGCATGCCATCAAATCCTCCAGCATCCATTGAGCAGCAATGATTCTCTCTTTCACAAGATCTGAAACTCAGTCCTCAAAGGTAGACAGAGAGGGTCTTTCATGAGTACACTACATTAGCCCTAGGAGCATGGCTGCTCCTTATACCCTCTATTCTTTTATTTTGGAAAGTTCTCTTTACCCCTTACTCCCATTCTCTCATTACCATGTTACTTTTATTCCCTGTTATAGTTAATTTATATATATATGATTATGTATGATATATTATATACACACAGAGATTTGTCTGTATATGTTTTACACATACACAGATATATATAATACAATTATAATTATATATGTATATATAATATATATATCAGCATATATAATATACATATATTCTGTTCAAATTAATATATAATATAATATATTCTGTACAAATCTGTTGTTTCTCTCTCCTGACAATCCTAACTGATGAAGACATATAAGTAAGAGTTTTGAGGAAGACCCAGTCATAAGTAGCTGGGACATGACTACTTTAAATGTGGTTTTCAAATGAGTGCCCTGGGCCTGAAAAGACTGGTACAGAGAAGACAACAAAATATAGGTAAAATATAAATTCAGAGTAGGTATATCAATAATGAAGTGTGGATGCTAAATCAGCAGGATGCTTGCCTACTTACACTCAGAAATACTCAGAGTTCAAAAGAGGGTGATACCAGAGTAAGGATATGGATAACCTAATCTATACAGGCGAATTGACTGCAAGGTCAGAAAGTTGAGTTGGTAAAACAAATGCAGTGGTAGCAGAATTAAAATCATTTCTCAGAGAACTCTATACCCCAGAACTTTTTGCCCTGGGGAGGACATAAACCTCTTGATCTAATTTTTTAGACTCTAAAAGCCTGAAGGCATGAGCAGAGCCTTCTTAAAAGTTTTCAGAAATATTGCTATAAGTTATATTTTCCCTAGCATAGTAACCTGAAAATAAAGAACTTATTTTAATTTTTAAAAATACTTTTGATTGATCTTTTTATAGTACATGAATGACTGGGTGTTCACGCACGTGTGTGAGATGTGCTACCCTTGAACCTTGTTACCATATCAGCACATTACTGGCCCGACCTGAGAAGAAAAAGAAGTTTTTGGTAATTTTTTTTCACTGGCATATAATTCTCCAATATGACATTGATACAAAATTGAACTATCTAAATCATAACATGTAAGTATGACACAGACCCTTTCTTTAAAGATCTGTTACTCCCATTACTAATAATTTGTTTAATAAAAATCATTTCGGTAATTGTGTTTCGCATGCCACTTTTTCAGGGGAAAATGTGTCTGATAGTTTCATAGACAATTCAGCTCTTTATTTATTCTTTAAATACATTTATTTTAGGCTAATATGTAATATGTTGATATTCTGTGTTTTACATTGATGCATTACATATTTTGTCAATATGAATTAGCTTCTTTATTTTCAGTTCACTCTCTGATACTGAAGAAATCAAGATCCTAAGCCATCAGTACCAAATTTAAGATAATGATGAATTCATGAAGGTAAATATGACCTTATGATTTGACCTATTTGGGTAACCACTAAGCCTTCTCAATAACATTTTCACTAGACGCATTCCCAGTATAGAATTCCAAGGTGAAACTGAACACACTTTCAAGATTTTTAAAAATCCAATTTGTTAGACTCTCTTTATATAATAATCCACAGATATTTGAAAGCCATTTGTACAAGTTTAAGAGCTAAAATAGCATGGAAATCAGTATCATAAGATGAGATCAATTCTGCAAATATGTCTTATAAAAGTGCCATATGAATTCACATAATATTCAAGATGAAAACATTATATATAACCTAAAATTGCTCATATTTTGAAAATATATAGTTAGCCAGTGTGATCGTCTTCTTATAATTTTGTTATATATATTTTAGTCCACAGTACAAATTTAACTGTTACTTAAATTTGCCTGATGGGTACTTAGAGTTAAAATCGTATGCGTGTAAAATTACCCTGGAAAGGAAGGCATAGAGGATAAAAACACGTTTGTTTCAATTATAACATTTTCATATTCTATTTGAGGGACAATTATGTGATAAATTAATAACCGTACTCTTCAAAGTTATATTTCTTTAACATTTTTACGGGACTTGCCATTATTACTGCTTTTAAAATAGGCAAGGATTTGGATCCTTGAAGATTCTGAAGCTGTATTTATTAAAGTAATTCATAATTGTAGGAATGGAGAATGTAGTAACATTAAACAACATATAACTTTTTATATAACTCTACAAGGTTTAGTTCTAAAATAGTGAAAATTTTATATAACAAATAATTAAAGGGAAAAACAAATGTAAATTAAACATACGATTTTACTTTCTTCATTAAAAGTAAATTAAGATGTTAGCAAACGATTATCTAAGCTATCCTCTCACTCAGCTCAATCCAGCTGCATCTGTGAGTCAGACTATTTTCAATTGCTTTTAATTAGCAGTTTTTATGACTCTCTCAGAGGTTGCAAATTAAAGAGAACACTGACCGGCAGAATCTGTACTGCTCTAAAAGGAAATATCCTAGGGAGATCTTGAAATAGTGATAAAGAATCTCAGTAGCAACAGGAAGGCAATGATAGGGAATGTATCAAGAAGTAAAAAAAAGAAGTAACAGAAAAAAATTAGAACTATTGAAGTCTCAGAGTTGATACTGTAAAAATAAGACACAGAAAACCTTAGATAAGTTTGTCTCCTATGATTAAAAAAAATGAAAAATAAATCTACCATCTAATCAGAGATACTTTATACTCTACTAAGTAGCTACATGAGGTTACCTAATTACTCAGATTTTTGTTGTATGATATTAGTTTTAAACATTTGCCAAATTTGAGGCAAATCGATATTTTCAATATTTTTATTCTACCCTTTCAAATATCGCATAATTCAATAGCTCATACTATTTTCTGAAATGTGAAAAAAACAAAAGCTCTTGAGCTTACTTGTAAATTGTGTCTCATTATCCCAGGTTTTTATTTTCATTTTTGATTTTTAAATTTTTGTGCGGCCAGAGCACTGTGAATGCTGGATTTTTAAAAATTAGAGTAAATCATGCCTCAGATATAGCCCTGAAGCAAAATAATTATTCCAATCCTGTTTCCAACTTAGAACGCTTTCTTCTGAAACTCCCCTAATAAGTTGGGTTGCATTTTATGTAAACAAAACTATAAATGTTGTTTATAATTATTAAACAACTCTATAAAATTTAACCATCTGCCTCGTATTTATCTACGTATATATAGCTTTGTGTATTTATACACCTAACTACAGCTTCCATCTATACTTCTTCCAAAATAAAATTAAGATTAAATCAGTTAAAAAATAGCTCTCTAAGATCAAGAGAAGTCTGTCTGGTGTGTTTTTGTATAGAATATTATTATTATTTATTTTTTAATTCAGTACATTTATATACCATGCATTGTCAAGTTACTATATCCATTGATAGGTAGTATCTGAGCTATTGTACCATTCCAAAAGGAACAATTAATAAAACCTATTGAATAGTTTTATTTTTTACATTGTCTTGTTTTCCTGTCTCTATACAGCAATTTATATAGACAGGTTAGTTTTACCTTATCTCTTTTAAAACATAATGGTTCAATATATTTCCTCATATATGCCTCAAAATTATGTACTAACATCATGATGGATGTCGGCCATAGAAAAATAAAGATGATATGCTCCCGTAATTTCATAGTCCTATATTTTACAGAGGTATTGTGTGGTTCTGTTATTGTGCTTTGGAAGGCATAATCATGCATGCTTATTTGCATATTGTTTCAAAATTAAGTCAGAATTTTACATATAAAAATATTATTTTCATTTAATGCACATACACATTTAATTACTATGCAACAGAATATAAACTAAGCCTCATAACAACTATATTAACAATCATGTAATTCAGACTTTTTTTAGAAAAACTACATAATGTATAACATACATTGAAAATACAATATGAAAAATGTAATGGTTGCACAGAAGGGCCTAATTTGTCATTTAGAAAGAGCATGTGTCTCTGCTGCCTTCACTTACATTTAAAAAATATTTATAGAAAATTCCTTAACCCAAATGTACTGTTTGATCTTTGTGGTTACATAAGGCAAAGTGAAACAAACAAACAAACAAAACAATCAGTTGTTTCCTCACTAAAAATGTTGAGGAGCAGTTTAACAATGACTCCATTCACTCTGTATCCCCAGCTCTCCTTAATCCTGTTATCCATTCATTCATTCATTCATCAGAATTTATTGAGTGAAAGAACTAGATATAAATGAAATTTTGAAAACTATGATAATATTTTCTTGTGAAACATACATTCTAATGGGGGATAGAGTAAGACAATAAATAATTAGATTTTATAGTTTGTTATGAAGGCATAAATGCTACATTAGAACGGGGGAAGGAAGATTGCAGGGGGGGTTAGAAAGCAGTTTTAAAATGATGATGGTATGAATGGTTAAGAGAGGTTTCATTGAAGCAAAACTTTGACAACAATGTTGAGGGATTCAGCCATGAACAGATGTTGTGAGAAAGATCATTCCAGGCAGACAGAAGCTAGTGAATGCCTGATGGCTAGTGTGGAAGCCTGTGTGGCTGGACTGAAGTGAGGGAGGGAGGATAAGGCAGGAGAATCAAAGGTCCTGTGGGGGCAGGTGATTTAGTGCTTTGCAGACCCTTGTAAAAACTGTGATTATGTCTCAATGAAATGAATAGTCATTGAATGGTGTCAGCAGAGAAGTGATACAACCCAAAGATGATTTGAAAAGGATCAGTGTTGAGAGTAGACTGAGGAGAGGGTATAAGGATAAAGACCAGTTAAGGAACAATTTAGTGTACGACTCTTGTGAAAATGCCGGTTTCTCCAGAGAGAGTTTGCCTGTGTGTGTGTTTGTGTATGATGATTTTGCTATGGTTGCCACATTCACTAAAATATTTCTTAATAAAAATGTATTATATCCAACTTAGGTGGGTTGGTGTGAAAATATTTAATACTCGTATTTATATAACCTTATAAAGATTGACTGCCAGTAGTCATAGCCCCTTAGGGGATAAGAGTGGGATGTATCACATAGTATTTTGGTGAGAAAGAAAGTTTTACATTTAACAGACTCAAATCACAGTAAAATATTAGTATTTCTCTTTTTATTACTAAATGATTTGATGTGCTAAGTAACAAAATATATTTTAAAATTAGGGAAATATTTTCTTAGCTATAAAAATACACTTTTTATTAATATAACTATAGTGATTAAACAAATAAATGAGATAATTTAAAATAAATACAAGCTTATTTTTTTTCTTTTGTCATTTTAAGAATAATGTAGAATGCTTGCTTATTAAAGGATTAAAACTTCTCGGTAACATAAAATTTGATATCTCATTCAATAAAGATGAGAAGATATTGATGGAAAAAAAATATCTGAGCACAAATATTTCTCTCAACTGATTCAAATGAACTGAAAGGAACAAGAAAATGACAAGTATCAAGAATCTATTTCTACCCTCTTCTGTTGCTATTACCATATTTTGCTCAAATTAAGGGACATTAGCCAGTTACAGGAGTTGGTGATTACCTACATAGTACTCTGGGCCTTTATAGTTTTCTATTCTGCAAAATAAGCATTAATAACTCTTCTAGAGTATCAATGGAAATGAAATCATTTAATGTGTGTAAGTTATTCAGAATAGTTAATGTTACATAACAAGAGGTATCTTAACCAGAATTATAATGTTATTTTATTCAATATAATATTCACATTTAAACTGCTTTTCTACATTTTTATATAAGATTACATAAAATATTTATTTCTGAAAATTATTTATCAAAATAATTAAAATTTTTTCTCATAGAAACAAAACATTCACTTTGAATATTTAAAATGTATCATAAACAGAATACAATATTTATTTAACCATGTAAATAATTGTGTTTAAGAATAACACAAATTGTGTTAATTAGAGACTTTGATGATTATATATGTTATTTATGTGATACATTTTTAGGTTTTTAATTTAACTCTATAGACTCAGGTTAATGTGATTGCATAGTTTTTTAGAAA